TTTTTTTTTTTTTTTTCAGATTTCGGAACTTTTAGATGTCAAAATTGATTTGAACTTGTCAAAATTAGAAATTTTCGAATCAGAATCGGCCAAAACTGGATTTTCCAATCCAACTTGCACCCCAACTAGTATTACATATTCAAACTTATTATATATAAATTGAATAATATATAAGTCAATTACAATATTAGAGAATTCAGAATTGTAATCCAATAATAAGGGTTGTTTATGCTGTGAACATTATGAGAATTATTAAATTAAGAAATTAACCTGGTTATGTGCAAAATTGTGAGTGATTCAGTCACAGCAGATTTTAGACCCAAAAAAAAAAGATATTTAGTCATATACCTATTCTTAGCATTGAAATTATAAATAAACTCTACACTATTTAATTTCTATAAACAAACTCAAAAAACACCCAAAAAATGAAAGCTGGCCCTATTGAATTTAATTTTGATTATTAAACTTTGATGCCCTATTGAGTGTTTTGTGCTTTTTTTATGAGGTTTTGGGATTGGGTTTGTTTTAAGAAATCAATGACAATTTTGTAATTTAAAAGAAGTTAAAAGCTTTTTTGATATGTTGTAAATGAGGCTTCAGATGTGTTTCTAAAATTCATTTCATATAGGGTTGTTTTTTATAATTTAGGCTCTTATATTTGGTATAATAGTGAATCTCCCAAAAAAAAGTCACAGCAGATTTTGGCAATACGGAAAATGAAGTATCGTTAACTTTTACATTTTGTTGACCACGGGATACGTCGTCAAAAACACACAGGTTACGGTCAAGATACTTTTAGGGGTTATTATGTAATTGTTTAGAAAATTATGTAGTCATTTAGAACATTATAACGAATATGGGGTCAAAATGTAGTTTTTAAAAATTGGCCACATAACACCTGAACCTTTCTTCTTCCGGACAGAGAGGAAATCTAGGTTTTTCTATTTGAAAAGAAACGGCTGCACCAGCAAACTCGAGGAACCAGATCCAGAAGGAAGACGAAGGAAGAAGAAAGAAATTTTGAAGTCACCTCTTCGTCCCCACTGAAATTTCTGCTGCTCCATCTGCTACACTCCACCAGGTTTTTTTTTAATTTTATTTATTTATTTTTATAAATCTTCACTTCGTTCGTTGATGTATTAGTTCATTCGTTATAACCAAATCCAAATCCTGTCCGGATTATATTGATTAATTAATTTTTTTGTTATAAAAATGAATTCTTTTGTATGAAAATGATATTGGGGGGCAGATCTTCGTGAATCACTTGGGAAATGAATGGTTTTATTGGATGTGTTAGGTTCTCTGCGTTGTTCTTCCATGGATGCAGTTCTTAACTGAGGAACCGGCAAACCCATTGTTAATTGTTTGCTTTTGTTTTGTGGACCTGAATTGGAGCCTTAATTTGGGACATTCGTTTGGTGGCTGAGACTGGACAGGATTGGGATTGTGTCCAGTCATATCCCGTAGAGTCTCCCACCCTTGCGAAGGAGAGGAACTTCCCTGCCTCGGTTTCACTATCGTCTTCTTCCTATCTCTCTACTCATGCCACCTGAGGACAGAGATAGGAAGAGGGGATAGTGAAACTAGGGTAGGGAAGTATTTTTCCTCGCAATTCTCTGATATATGGAACAGTTGTCCAATCCCACCATTGTTAAGTTCATCGTCAGAGTCAAACCCTTGCTGAGGAGAGAAATTTCCATGCCCCGGTTTCACTATCCCCTATTCCCGTCTCTCTATAGGTGACATGAGGAGAGTGATAGGAAGAGGGAAATAGTGAAACCAGGTCAGGGAAGCATTTTTCCTTGCTAAGGGGGACTTGTTGTCGCTAATATGCGGAAGAGTTGTCCAATTTAACGAATCTAATCCGACCATTGTTAAGTTTATCAAACATAAGACAGAACATTTAGTCCATTTAAATTGGTCTTGCCCTGTCTAGTCCCAGCACTTAATAGTGAACTGGGTTATGTTTCTCATTGGCCTAGGGAACTAATTAGTCATTTTAAAGCAGTTCATAGGGTTTTAGTTTGTTTGAATGCCTTCCTTTTTTTTATTGTCATTGCCTTTTTCTCTCATACAACTCGGTTATGTTTGAGTGGCAGTTTGAAAATGTCTGCAAAATACATTGTTTCTGCTCTATTCGGATCATTTGCTGTGGCATGGACATGCGACTATCTTATGGCTGACAAGAAAATATTTGGAGGCAAGTTGGTGTTTCTGTTTTTTGAAGCTTGTTGCATAATACTTGGTGCAATAGTCTGATGTTATTGTGAATTTTTATTAACTTAGGAACTACTCCAACAACTGTTGCAAACAAAGAATGGTGGGAAGAAACTGACAAGAAGTTCCAGGCATGGCCTCGTACTGCCGGTCCACCAGTGGTCATGAACCCCATCAGTCGTCAGAATTTCATTGTCAAGTCTCGTGTTGATTGAAGATTTTCATGATCATCACTCTGTTTATGTAACCAGTTCTAAACAATGTTAGGCTGGACTTGATACCTAAAGGGTTAGCCATCATT